GGCCTCGGGGCCGCTCTCCCGAGTCTCCAGCATCTCCTCTCCGTCCCCCGCCTGCTGAGAGGGAGTGCTGGTGAGGCGAGGGGCGACTCGGAGTCCTGAGGGAGGGGCGGTGTCGGGGCCCCAGGGATGTTGCGGGGTTTTCAGGGGCGCTTCGTGCTGGTGCCGGGCGGTGCCTTCTAGGGTGTCACAGAAAACCCGCGGCTCATGCATCGGGTGCCGGTCCCGCTAGCTGCCTGACCCGCTCTCCGCCCGCGCGGTTTGTGGCCCGGCAGGTGCCTGTCCTGTGTCACCGCCAGGAGCTCTGGAGCGTGTTAACGGGGGAGCGGCCGGGCTGGCTGTTCCACTGCTGGGTTTTGACGTTAGTAGTGCGGTTTCAGGCGTTAGAGCTAATGTATTTTGTATGTACAACGGTAATTTTACACATAAGATATTTTAGTGTGGTTTTAACCCGGCAGGCAGCTCAGCCCTACTCAGCCGCTTGCTCACTCTCCCCCTGGTGAGAAGGGGGGAGAATCAGAAGGATAAAAATGAGAAAACTCGTGGGTTGAGATAAAGACAGTTCAATAGGTAAAGCAAAAGCTGTACACACAGGCAAAGCAAACTAAGGGATTCGTTCCCTCTTTCCCACCGGTAGGTGGGTGCTCAGCCATCCCCAGGACAGCAGGGCTCCATTTCGCGTTAATGGTGACTTGGGAAGACAGATGCCATCACTCCCAACGTTCTCTCCCCCTTTCTTCTTCTTCCCCTAGCTCTATATGATAAGCACGATGTCATATGGTGTGGGATGGTTGGACTTTATTTTAAAGGTCCTTTCTGACCTGAACGATTCTATGATTCTATATTTCTGGGGTCAGTTGGGATCGACTGTCCTGGCTGTGCCCCCTCCCATCTCCTTGTGCCCCCCTCCCCAGCCCTCTCACTTGTGGGGTGGGGTGAGGAGCAGAAAAGGCCTTGGCTCTGTGTCAGCTCTGCTCAGCAGTGACAAAAACATCCCTGGATTATTAATGCTCTGTTCAGCACAAATCCAAACCATAGCCCTGTACCAGCTACTGTGGAGAACATTAACTCTACCCCAGCTAAAAGCAGTACACTTAGACTTTGCTGGGTGCTATACAGACTCTGCTTTTTTTGGAATTTAGTGGTACTTAAAATAAGTCCTTGTTGAAGGATAACCACTTTTCTTACTGCAGAGTTTGCTACCCATCAAAGCTTAATATCATTGATTAGTTGACCAAGTAACCTGAGGTGCTTTGCAATGTGTAATATGTGTTAAGCATTCCACTTCAGCATCCTTCTAATACAGGAGAAATTTTTTGAGGAAGGCACGCTTTTGATTAGTGGTAGCTGTGATGGATTTGATGTTTCTATCTCCAGCAAATGTTGGCTCTACCATCCCCCCTGAAGCCTTCTGGAAACTGAAGAAACCATGTCAGGTAATAGCAGAATTTAGTTGGCACATAATAAGAGCATTTGCTAACTCAACTGACAGTAGTTTCTAATTTTTTAAAATATATAATTGAGAGTTATTTCAAAAGAACCTAGGAATTTTTTTGCACAATGACAAATTCTACACTTTTAATCAAGGTAGTTTGAAGGCAACAAAAAAATCTGCTTGAGATTGTAAGATAGAGGGTAAAACTGAGTTCTTGCATAGTATGAAATATATTTGTGTCCAAACGTAGTATTAATTTATGAGTTCCCTCACTCTTTTAGCAATGTTTTAATTGGCTTTTCAGCATAAAAAGAAACACTCCTTGCTGGGGGACAGATGGGCTACAGTCTGTCTTGGGTAGCGTTTCATCCTGAGTGATATGTTGAGCTGAATTAACCTGGACACACTCGTGCTAACCCATCCTCAAGTATCAGGCTCACCTTGAGTAGACTGCATTTACCTGTTTAGAAAGTAGAAACTGTCACTTCTTAATTTCCCAGTTTAGTTTTCTGATCTATTCATGTTGGGGCAATGTTTTTCAGTAAGAAAAGTCTTTAACTCCTCCATCAAATAGAACAGTGGAATAATCAGGCCATTATCAATCTGCTATGAATAAGGTGTAAATATGAATTTTGTTTACCACCAAAACCACTATGTTACCATCACACCCACAACTTTTGTGAAGAAAACCATGTCTTAAATTCCTTCCTGAAGTAATTACACTTATAAATTGCAGTGCTAGGGAGACTGGCTGTGAGGGTGGCAGCTTTATGTCCTTTTGGAGAAGAAAACTGATTGCTTTGCTTTTTTTTTTTTAATAAGTTTATTCTTGCATTTCCACCTACTTGGTTTGTGTAGAGTGCTAGTTACAGTACATGTGTATGACTGGGTTTTTTTTCCCCACCTCTTCTCAGGTCTTTGATTAGCATCGCAGTCTTATTCCCTATGTAAGGTATTAGCACAATATTTTCAGAAGCAGCATTTGTTCTGTAGCTTAGCATTCTGTTCCAATCCATCCTGCCTTTTATTTTAAATTTTGGTTGTTTCCATCCGTTCTAGAAATGGATGCTTTTGATTATCAGATGAACAATTTGAGTATTTGAAATTGCCTTGCCTCAAAGCTTGGTGCCTAAAAAGGCAGAAATGCGGAACCTAGTTCTGTGTGTATGTAAAATAGCACATTGTTTAACTTTGGGGAAGGCATCTGTAGGTGGAGAAAGGAGTGTCCTCCTAGTCTAGGAAGGGAAGTTTGTGCATAGGTCTCTCACATAGAATAGTTGGTGGGAGAAGGTGACTGGAACAAGGATAAAAGATTGATTGTAAACCCCTTGAAGTTAGGAGACCTTTTGTGTGCTTTTGGTTCATACTGGTTCTTATCTTTTCAGTTTCTCAGCCAACAAAATTAGTAATATCTTGAAATCTACTTTGTTTTAATCTTCTATCTATATGTGATGTATGCTAAGTCCAACGCTTTTCTGAAATACTGGTTCAGTTCATATACAGTGGCATTTTAATTGAATTTTTGTTGAAAAACTAGATACTGATTTTTTTAAAAAAAATCTTAATATTGAAAAAAACCACATTCTCGCTTGCTTTTATGGTTCTAATGCTTGCTATTTTTTTTTTTTAGATAAGAAGCCCCGCATAGATTTGAGACTGCTGTAGTACAATCTACAAACTTTGACGCCTTTCCTATTGAATGTTGTTATCTTTTAGAAAAAGTGAGTACTTTAAAAAAAAAAAAAAGTTCCCCAGTGGTGCATTGTCTTCAACTTTAACATTTTTTTCAGCAGAAAATGAATAAAGAAATGAGAAAACAAAAAACCCCTTGTGTTTACTAATCTGTATGTAAATTTGGAGTCTTGTCCAAAAGTGTTGTTTTATTAGATGCATTTTTATAATTTTTGTAACATCATTTGAGATGTTTTCACTCAGTCTGTGTTCAAAATAATGAGTTGTTCTTGATTTTTTTCTGATTTAAAATATTTAGATTGCTTGTAGTAATGAACTTTTTTCGCTGTAGGTATGTGGAATTATTTATGTATTGGTCTATAAACTGATTATGCTTACAGAAGACTTTGCTTTTTGCTCAGCTGAGGCTGAGCCATAGATTTAAAATGTGGTTTGTCTTTTAAGTCAATCTGTTTAAAATTCTGTTCTTTTAACTTGGAAAAAACTGACCTGTAGTTACATGTTAATTCTCATCAGGGTTTTTTTTCCTAGTAATGACATAATGAGCTTCTCTTGTAATATTGGTAAGAGTGTGTATGAATTTCTGCCCTGTGGTTGCTGGACACTGGTTTGTGCATACAGTGCTTCAGTTGGTAGAAATGGGCTAAAAGTGATACTGTGATTTACGCATGGAGCCTGTGATACGTGAGCAGCTTCCATAGCCCGATCACAGTTACAGACTAAACCTTGAACATGCATTTAATTTATTAGATTATAGGGACTTGACAGCTGGGCCAGTTGCCAAAACTTTTTCAGTTATCACTAGATTGCGAAGGCTGAGCTTGATCTAAGTAAAATGTCCAGATCCTCAAGTCCTCTTCTGAAGTCAGCTGGCTTGTAGGAAATAAGCTTTAAGGCTGAATTCTTCTATCTTCTCTGTTGTCTCTGCACTGTGATCCTGGGCCTGTGATCAAATTACTGAGAAGTGGCATGGGCTAATTAGTGCTTTGTTGAGTGCTTTGAGATATGATGATGAAAACTCCTGTGCGAGTTGGGTGTACTGTAACTGACTGTGCTAAGACTGGTTATTACCTTTTTAAGAATACATCCAGGCCATTTCCATGTGTTCCTTGTCAGCTCGTGATTTCCCCCTCACCTGCCGTGCGGCCTGTGTACCAGGTTGTGAGTTTCTCAATGAACTTCTTGTCTTACTTGATAATTTGGGGATTTTAGTGGGGAGAATGATCTGTTCTTAATACAAAAAAGTGTGAATGGTGGAATTTGTCTGTAGGTTTCATTTTGGGGCGCATTTTTTCATACGGGTTCAAGCATCAAGCTAGGAAGTTCTATGGTGTTCTGGGTTTTGTTTAAGTGCTTTGGAACTTCAGCGCTACCAAGCAGCATGCCAGCTGTAACTTGTAGTGTTGTTTTCATGCATTTGCACTTGTTGCCTCTTAAGGTTGCTATTTGACAAACCTGAGTAAATGGGAAGACTTGGTCCTTGTGCCTTTGCTTGTAATTCTGCAGTGCTAAGTGAAACTTGAGGCTAGTGTGTAGTGCTCAGCTCATTCTGGTATAAGCGCTAAGGAACAGTAGCACTAAAGTTAGAGGTGGGAGTGCCTGTTAGGTGACTCTGCACCCATCTATTATAACCTTCATAACTAGTTTTCTTCCATTATGGACTCCTTTCTTACATATCCTTATTCCACAGAGCTTTCGCTTAATGCTTGTAGCATTTTGTTGAAATTTGACCCCTTTGAATCTTGTGGCAGGTCTGGAACACCAGGCAGCTCTATTGTGTGTTTCTAATTATGTTGAGAATTCTCTTCCTTGAGTTGTGAAGAAAGCTCCTATGTAATTTTGCTTGTAGTGATTTTCGTTCCACTACCCAGAATTGAAGGATGGCTTTGGGCTCTGGGGCCAAAACCCGCCAAATAAAAAAAGACCTTTAGGAAATGGTCAGCAAGAGGTAGCCCATTCTGGCTTAGTTCTGACATACTTGCAAAATAGAAGAAAAAACCCCAGAGACTAGAAAGAGACTAGCACTTTTGCCAGTATAGAGTTTTTCAAGAGGTATGGCTGAGGTTTTTGAGCTTTTTCCTCATCTGTTTGAATTCCTCCCCGCATGTTCATCTTTCATTGCAATGTGTTTCAACTATGCTATGTGAAGTCTAGCTGCTTTTAGGGGCATCCGAGAATGGTGGCCTAGCTAAATGGAAAAATGCTGTTTTAAACCTTTAAATGGTAGGAATAGATGTACAGTGAAAAGGAGCCTTCTCTTCACTAGTTTTAGGTCCTGCACTTAAAGTAAGCTTCTCTAGTTCACAAACTGATGCTGAAAGGTCAGTTTGACCTTGGAAACTTTCCCTAAAAAAAACCCACCAAACACAAACTTTTAACCAGAGAATAATTTGCCCTGTGACTGCTTTCTATAGGAAACAAAAATAAAAGCATAATAAAAAAAGAATGACCATAGCTGAGTGAATGGAGGATCCTTTTCCTGTTACAAAACCTTGGTGCTAGTCTGTCAAAATCATTAAGCTTTTTTTTTTTTGGAGTGTAATGCTTGCTTCCACGCCTACACTGAATCAAGCTCTTTGAAAAACTGAGATACGGTTTCATGATCTGGATTTGTAAGACAATAAATTGTATTTGTGAAGCCTTTTTTTTTTTTCTGTTCAATATGTATTTTCTTTTCTTTGCTTGGTTATTGCAGGGAAAGAATGGTTCAACAAGTTCCAGAAAACGTAACTTTTCCAAATGAGGAAG